GAGGCTTATCAAATTACAGTCAGTTTCTGTGTATTTAGAAAGAAAGAAAAGAAGGGGGGTGAGCTGATCAAATTACAGTCAGTTTTTGTGTGTGTAGAAAGGAAGAAAAGACGGGGACAAGCTTATTAAATTATAGTCAAGTTTCTGTGTGTGTAGAAATGAAGAAAGGGGATGAGGCTTATCAAATTACACTCAGTTTCTGTGTATTTAGAAAGAAAGAAAAGAAGGGGGGTGAGCTGATCAAATTACAGTCAGTTTTTGTGTGTGTAGAAAGGAAGAAAAGACGGGGACAAGCTTATTAAATTATAGTCAAGTTTCTGTGTGTGTAGAAATGAAGAAAGGGGATGAGGCTTATCAAATTACACTCAGTTTCTGTTTATTTAGAAAGAAAGAAAAGAAGGGGGGTGAGCTGATCAAATTACAGTCAGTTTTTGTGTGTGTAGAAAGGATGAAAAGAAGGGGGGCGAGCTTATCAAATTATGGTCAGTTTCTGTGTGTTTAGAAACAATGAAAAGTAGGGGACAAGCTTATCAAAGTATGGTCAGTTTCTGTGTATGTAAAAAGAAAACAAGAGATCCCAGAGGGATCTTGGTGCCCACCATCTTCATTAGTTCTTTGTCAGTTCAATCTTTCTTTTTTTTTTCTCTAATCTGTTTGATCCAGTCATGTTAACAGTAAATGCACCTTGAGGTTATTTTTGATCTAAACTTAATACTGATGTGTATGAAAGACAATCTTCAAAGTGAGTTTGTCAATTCACATATTTACTAGTACAGTACTAAATGTGAAAGAAATATATTCAATCATGACACTGTTTAGTTCTTCCTTTAGCCATTTTGTTTTTATGATCAGTCTCAAAATACAACATGCACAACGAGGGATTAAGGGAAACCTACATGTACATATCAAATTTGAGAAAGATCCCTCAAGTTATCCCTGAGAAATAGTACTTTTAACAAACCTTCAATGTCAAAAATTGAAGATGGCTGTCGGTCGGCCATTTTGTTTAACTGATCAGTTACAAAAGTAAACATGAACAATAAAGGATAGTGGGGAACCTACATATAGAATTTGAGAAAGAACCCTCCAGTACTTTCTGGGAAATAGCACTATCAAACCTTAACTGTCAAAATCAAAGATTTGTTCATCCGATCAGTCTCATCAGAAAATATGCATAAATTAATTTCATAACAAGGGGAAACATAACGAATTTAAGAAAGATATCTCTCCAATATTTCCTGAGTAATAGCCATAACAAACCTTCACTGTCAAAATCCAAGATGGCTGCCTGTCTGCCATTTTGTTTATCTGTATAGTCTCAAAAGTTGATATACACAAGTAAGGATCTAGGGGAACCTACATATAAGATGTGAGAAAGATCTCTCCACTACTTCCTGAGAAAAAGCGATAAAAAACCTTCAATGTCAAAATCCAATATGGCTGCATGTTGCCCATTTTGTTTTGTTTTTCTGATCATTCTAAAATTAAATATGCACAACTACAGACCTAGGGGAGCCTACATATCAACCTTGGGGAAGATCCCTCCAGTACTTCCTGAGTAATAGCCATAACAAACCTTCACTGTCAAAATCCAAGATGGCTGCCTGTCTGCCATTTTGTTTATCTGAATAGTCTCAAAAGTTGATATACACAACTACAGACCAAGGGAAACCTACATATATAATTTGAGATGGATCTCTCCACTTCTTCCTGAGAAATAGTGATAACAAAACTTTAATGTCAAAATTCAAGATGGCTGCCTGTTGGCCATGTTTTTTCTTCTTCTGATCAGTCGCAAAAGTTGCCCTGCACAACTAAGGACCAAGGGGAACCTACATATAAGTGAAAAAGATCCCTCTGGTACTTCCTGAAAAATAGCCATAACAAACATTCACTATCAAAATCCAAGATGCCCTGCACAACTAGTGACCAAGGGGAACCTACATATAAAATTTGAGAAAGATCCCTCAGGTACTTTCAGAGAAATAGCGATAACAAACCTTCACTATCAAAACCAAGATGGCTGCCTATCGGCCATGTTGTTTCTCCTATCAGTCTCAAAAGTTGCCCTGCACAAATAGGGACTATAAGGGGAACCTACATACAAAATTTAAGAAACATCCCTCTGGTACTTCTTTAGAAATAGCGATAACAAGAATTGGTTAAGGACGAACAAACGGACCACAGACGCAGGGTGATTTAAATAGCCCACCATCAGATGATGGTGGGCTAAAAAAGGAGGGGGCGAGCTTATCAAATTATAGTCAGTTTCTGTGTGTGTAGAAATGAAGAAAGGGGGGCGGGCTTATCAAATTATGGTCAGTTTCTGTGTGTGTGAAAAGAAAGAAAGGAAGGGGAGCGAGCCTATCAAATTATAGTCAGTTTCTCTGTATTGAGAAATGAAGGAAGGGGAGAGGGGGCTGATCAAATATGATCAGTTCTGTGTATGTAGAAAGAAGGAGGGAAGGGGGACAAGCTTATCAAATTGTAGTGTATGTAGCAAGGGAACTCATCAACTTTCAGTTAATTTCCCTGTTTGCAGAAAGAGAGAGGGGGTTCATGAATCTATGCAACAACACTTTTAATGGGTTAATAACCCTGTATGTATGATTTACCCCCCTCATAAATGTGAACAAGCAAGCTGCCAAATAGGTTTCATTTGTTGAATGACGCTATCTACTATTGGACAAACAAAAACGTTTCTATCTAACCTATAGATCTACTCAAAATAAGACCTCTCAAGTTCACAGTCAGAATGATCTGCTACACTCAAAATACTGTGTTCAAATCTATCAAATGCTGATTTCATGTGTTAACAAGTGATGTTGACTGAAAATTAAAAATATCCTTCCTAAATATATCCAGGCTAAATAGAGACAACAGGACACCTGCCCACAGGGTCAGAAATAATAGCAATGTGCAGCTTGTTGTAAAATGAAAGACATATATACCGTGTGATAGATATGTTACCATGTGCAGAAGAACAGCCTAATTTAAATAATTAGATTAGCTAGGTCAACTTGCTTATCATAAGCATATAAAACACACACACAAAAAAAGACTTTAATTACATTTTTCATGATTGAGCAGGGGTGAACACATAATTTTCAAAGCACTTCATTTTGAAAAGAAATTTGTCTGTAGATGAATTTTTGGACTTTAAAGACTGATGAAAATAACTGAAACTTCAGCTAAAATATACAACAGGGATAAATAAAGGTTTTCCCTATTTACTGAATGATTATATATATTTGTTTAATAACAAATAATATAAACTTTATTAATTGTACAACAATTATGAAACAAGAGTACAGCGGGGCGGAACAATATACGCCCGTCGAATACCATATAGTGTTATATACTTTCTTACATTGAAATAAGATCTCTCTGCATCATTCTAAGAGTGGTTAGCCGACATGCTATAAAAAATGTAGGAGAAAATCTCTGGACAAAAAAACAAATACTGAAATGAACAAAGGGCGATAAATTTTCCAAAAATTGTTGATTTAAAATTCTTTTATGGGGAGACACAACTTCATATCATGGTTATAATGTAAACCAAGTTTCAAAGAGATCGGTCGAAAAATGTAGGAGGAGATTGACGGACAAACAAAAGTTTACGCCGGACGGACAACCCCATTCCATAACACTCCCGTCAAATTTGATGGGCGTATAAAAAGTTATTTCAACTTATATTAATCACTCTTGTTGGCTCAGATGTCGCACAATGTCTTGGTGATAGGCAAGTAAGCTAACTACTGCACCACCCGACCATGGTATGTAACAAATTATAGCCAGTTAAAATTACGTACAAATAAACCCACATGGTCGAGCAGATTACCCCAAACCTTTTCACATCCGACCAGGGAATCAAATCCTGGCCGCTTTGGTGATAGGTGAGTACGCTCTTATTAGTAAGGTCTTCCTACCCTGGGCAAGTGCTTCAAATTTTTATTTTGTAAAAACACTTTAAAGCGTAGGTTTTACGTAACTATATTTAATTCAAAATCATTTCATTTCACTAAATGAAATTGGTGACAGCACGTACCTAATCCATCCAGGCTAGCCTCCTTTCCCATTGTTGTCATACTAATATACTCAGAGTCGTGCTCTTCTGTGCTCTCCTCCTTCAAATCATCTCCGCAACACTCCCGCCACACCTACAAACACATACACATTTTGAAAGTGGAAAGATGAAACTAAACAAATGCTTACTACAGGCAATAACAAATTGTAGATTAGTTCTCTCTGTAGTAAAGGGTAAGCTATCCTGCCCAGAATCACTACCATGAACAATGATCGGTATAAATTATGAGGTACACTCGGCATTCCCATCCGAGACAACAGTCATACGCAGTTTCACAACTTTTTCAGAGGCTTGTGATTGGTCTATTTGTGTATCAGGTGCTAACGAGAGATAAAAGAACATCTTTTAGCAGAGGCCGGTTGTTTATAACAGGTGAAGGTTGTCTATAAACAGCGTCTCCAAACGACCAACAGCGATCTTAAGGACACTTATCCTCGATATCCAGGGGTTACGCTCACTTTCGCTCTCTACACCCCTGGAATCATCCTTGATATCCAGGGGTTACGCTCACTTTCGCTCTCTACACCCCTGGAAGATGTCAAAGCAAAATTGAAGGCACGTAGATGGCTGTTTGATTGGTCTCAGGTAAAAACAAGAGGCCCAGAGGGCCTGTATTGCTCACCTGGAAATGTTAGCAGAATTGAAGTTGAAATATCCAGAAGTCAGGGGGGGCCACACCCACCGTTTATACAAAATGGATTTCCCTTTCCCGTAGGATTCTACTGTTCAAATTTGGTCAAAATACCTTCATCCCAACGGAAGAAAAAGGATATTAAAGATATTCCTCTATATCCCTTATTGGGCCAGCCTCTCTGCCCCCAGGGGAGTCAGGCCAACCGATTACGCAATGTTGGTTCCCCTTCACAAAAGGGTGCTTCATACCAAATTTTGACAAAATCCTGTCGTTCCTATAGAAGAAAAAAGATTTTAAAGAATTTGCTCTATTTTCCCTATTAGGCCCTCTGCCCCAAGGAAGGCCACACTCATCATACTGTTTATACAAGATTGAGTCCCTTTTGCCAAAGGATGCTCCAGACCAAATTGGGATGAAATCCCTTCATCCCTATGGTAGAAGAAAGATATTAAAGGTTTTACCTCTATTTACCCTATTCGGCCCCTCCCCTTTGCCCCAAGGGGGCCACACCCACCTTTTAAACAAAATTGAGTCCCCTTGGCCCAAGAATGCTCCAAACTTAACTAGAATAAAATCACATAATCTCTACAGTAGAAGAAGGATTTTAAAGGTTAAACCCCTAGATCTATTTCCATGATTTTGCTCGCCCTCTGCCCCCAGGGAGACCACACCCACTGTTTATACAAAATTGAGTACCCTTGGCCTAAGGATGCTCCAGACCAAATAAGGAGAAAATCCCTTAACCAGAAGGATTTTAGAGGTTTTACTTCTATTTCCATTATTTGGCCTGCCCCTGTGCCCCCAGGGAGGCCTCACCCACTGTTTATACAAAATTGAGTCCCTTTGGCCTAAGGATGCTCCAGACCAAATTTAGTCAAAATCTACCTTGTCGTTCAGGACTAGTAGCATTTTAAAGGAAAAGTTGACGGACGACGGACGGACGATGGACGCTGTAATGCATGATAATACAAGAGGCCGAAGAGGGCCTGTATCGCTCACCTGAATATTTAAGCAGTCATAGCAAAATATTCTCATTAAATAATATATTGCACTAAAATATTTCCCTCGCAAACATTGTTGGCTCCATCTGTTGAAACTACCAGCAAAATATTATTATAAGATTCCATGCTTTTTGTTTCTTCTTCAGAAGTTGCTTGACATATTTTCCCCTGTGACCTTGTAAGAAGGTCAATGTCATTTTCCTTCTCAAATTGGTTAGCTCTATTCCAAAATGTTACCAGCCAAATCTTATGAATCCATTCCTTTTAGTTCTTGAGAACAAATCCTTTAAAATGTTGTTGACCTCTGTGACCTCTAAAGTAGGTTGAGGTCATTTTCATTCGCAAACTTTGGTGAACTCTATCCCAGGAAGTCACCAGCCAAATATTATAATTTTATGCCTTTAAACTTCTTCAGAAGAAGCTGTTTGAACTGTTTGACATATTTGAACGCTGTGACCTTGAAAGTAGGTCAAGATCATTTTCATTCGCAAACTTTGTTTGGCTCTTTCCCAGGAAGCCACCTTCCAAATATTAATATTTTATAACTACCAGTTCTTCAGAAGAAGTCATTTAAAGTGTTTGACATATCTGCCTCATGTGACCTTAAAAGAAGGTCAAGGTCATTTTCATTCTCAAACTTTGTTCGGCTCTTTTTTAGGAAGCTACAAGCCAAATATAGACATTCTATACCTTTCAGTTCTTCAGAAGAAGTCGTTTGAAGTGTCTGACACATTTGACTCCTGTGACCTTGAAAGAAGGTCAAGGTCATTTTCATTCTCAAACTTTGTCGGGCTCTATCCAAGGAAGCCATCAATCAAAAATAAAGATTCTATACCTTTCAGTTCTTCAGAAGAAGTCATTTGAAGCTTTTGACATATATGACCCCTGTGACCTTGAAAGTAGGTCAAACTAGTTTTCATTCTCAAACTTTGTTGGGCTCTATCCCAGGAAGCCACCAGCCAAATATAAAGATTATATACCTTTCAGTTCTTCAGAAGAAGTCGTTTGAAGTGTTTGACACATTTGACCCCTGTGACCTTGAAAGAAGGTCAAGGTAATTTTCATTCTCAAACTTTGTTGGGCTCCATCCAAGGAAGCCATCAGCCAAATATGAAGATTCTATACCTTTTAGTTCTTCAGAAGAAGTCGTTTGAAGTTTTTGACATATTTGACCCCTGTGACCTTGAAAACAGGTCAAGGTCATTTTCGTTCTCAAACTTTGTAGGGCTCCTACCAACGAAGCTTTCAGCCAAATATCATGACTCTAGACCTGTCTGTTCTTCAGAAGAAGTTGTTTAAAGGAAAAGTTGATGGACGAGGACGGACGACGGACGCATGACAGACGGACAGATGACGGACGCCGCAACATGACATAAGCTCACTTGCCCTTCGGGCAGGTGAGCTAACAATAAAGGATAGTGGGGAACCTGCATTGGCTCACCAAAAAAAATATTTTGGGTTGAGTAACGAAATTGAAGCACTATTTCAACAGCATTTAACACAAAGCTTCAGCACATTTAAATTACATATAATATGACAATGTTTGTAATATGTAAAACTTAATAAAACATTATATTTTCAATTCTTCAATCCTGGTTAAAACCTCACATGATCCAGTCTATTCAGGTCTTCCCAAAAGAAATACACAAAACTTGCACCTCACAAAAGGCACCCTGGTAGTATTTATACAGAAAATATGAAAAAAAAATCATCACATTTTCTAAATCACAGACAGTTGATTCGAAGTAATGACAACTGAAAAATGTACTGTCCCCCCCCTCCCCCAGTTAATGTGGAAGGGACTATAATTTCTTTCATTCATTAATTTTTTGACAGTCGCCCAAATTATTTTTGTTGGGCCAGTGACTAGCTCACTTTTGGTCACTCAACAAGACTTTAACCGCCATTGGCGAGCAGGCGACCGTCCATTTCAGGCGCTGCTGCACAACAAGGAAACAAGGGGAACCTTCATATAAAATTTGAGAAAGATCCCTCTGGTACTTCCAGAGAAATAGCGATAACAAACTTTCACTATCAAAATCCAAGATGGCTACCTGTCGGCCATGTTGTTTATCCGATCATTCTCAAAAGTTGCGCTGCATAGCAAGGTACTAAGGGAAACCTACATATAAAATTTGAGAACGATCCCTTTGGTACCTCTTGAGAAATAGCGATAACAAACTTTCACTTTCAAAATCCTAGATGGCTGCCTGTCTGCCATGTTGTTTATCCGATCAGTCTCAAACGTTTCCCTGCACAGCTCAGGATCAAGGGGATCCTACATATCAAATTTGAGAAAGATCCCTTAGACACTTCTTGAGAAATACCGATAACAAGAATTGTTTAAGGACAGACGACGGACAATGGACGACCCACGGACCACGGATGCAGCATGTGATATTATAAACATTCATACTAAGCACATTTTATTTAACACAAATAAGTGGGGACTTACATAAAGTGGTGATAAAGGCAATCCTACCCGAAGACTGGAACATTGTACATAAAATTTGAATTCAAGACAACAAATTTGTTTGGGTTTGTGTTCACTTTTAATTTCACGGAGAATGAACAGTTCGCCATGATGGATACAGAAACTGCTTTCGTGCTATACGTTTTATATTGCGATGACGTTCATCCCCAAACAAAATAAAACAACAAGAGTACCGCGGGGCAGAACAATATACTCCCGTCGAATGCCATATAGTGTTATATACTTTCTTACATTGAAATAAGATCTGCATCATTCTAAGAGTGGTTAGCTGACATGCTATAAACAAGAGGCCCAATGGGCCTGCATCGCTCACCTGGTATAAATCTCACACTTGTAACCTTAAAAGTGATCTAAAATAAAGCTACAGGCAAAATATCAGTATTTATGATTAAAATTCATTTGAAAGACCCTGTTATTTTTTTTAAAAACATTTCACCCCTGTGATTGAAAGTTGAACAAAGTCATTATGTTGAACAAATTTTATAGCCTTCTCAGGATCAGGATGCAACTTGCAAAGTATCAACATCCTGGGACCCATGGTTATTCAGAAGAGGTCGTTTAAAGATTTTAAACAAATTTGACCCCTGTGACCTTGAATATAAGTCAAAGTCATTCACTTTAACAAACATAGTAGTCCTTGATC